CTCTCCAACGGAAGGGTCGGTGTAGCCGGAAGACCTATTTTGTTAAGTCGTAGTGATGGAGTTGTGTTCAAAACTGGGAAAGTGTGGCCGTGATCCAGCTTCTTATTATCGAGTGTTTTATTTACAAAAAAAAAAAGATCGTGTCATTTATTATTATCCCATTTTCATCGTGTCAATTTCTCTTCGATATCGATTTTTCTTCCGACTTTCGATCAAAAACATTTGTTTCTTTTCAAAATTCGCTTACCGTCTTTTTTTTATTTTTGGTTTATTTATCCTTCGCGTCATTTTATATATATAATTTGCTTCTTTTTTTTTTTTTGTTAATAACCCTTTTTATTTCACTGTACTTATTTTTATTTTTTTTTCTTTTTATATTTTATTTTCCTACATTTCAAACAAACATAAGTCGTCATGAACTTTATATGAACGAAAATTACCTTTCACATATGATAACTTTAAACTTTGTAAATATTAACAAAAAACTTCTCCCAAAAAACCTTACCTCGAAAATTTTTACATCTAATTTTTTTTAAAAAAAAGAAAAAACAAAACGCCAAATTATTTTTTACATATGAGGGAGAATGATTTTATTTTTTAAAAAAATTATTCATACGCATCCATATTGCAAACATATGATTCCTGATTAAAAAAAAAAAAGGACGAAAAAAATTTTGTACATTTTAAAGGACATTTTATTGTTTATAGTTTTTTCTTTTCCTTTTTGTTTATATATTTTTTTTTTTTGCTTTTTTTTTTTTTTTTTTAAATTTTTCGATCGATTATTTTTCTTAGTGTTTGAATTTTAAAAACCAGAATTTAATAAAAAATATATATATACAACAATTCACAATGTATTCTTTTGGTAATACGGGTAGTTGGTGAAATTAGTTGGTGAATATCGAGATCCATTTGCCACGGTTGGACGAACAAAGAAAGGCTTGGTGATGTCCATTCATCAGATTTTGTACCGACGACTTACCCAATTGATCGTCGATATCCTGTCATTGACTAAATTGAATTGTATATATATATGATGCTTTGTTTCCGAGATGGTATTGCTGTTTCCTTAATATGTCATAAATAAATTGAATTTATTATATGAGTTATATGTTTCATTATACAGTATATGTGAATCATTCTTTTCATTGGTCAGTAAAAATATCAATCATGTGATATCGATGGAATATTGAAGTATCCATCTACCCCCGCGTTACAGAGAAAAAAAATTTTTTTTTCTAAATGTTATCACACCCACAAATTCAAGGCAAGAAATATAAATTTTTTCCCATTTAGGCTTCTAATAATGAGTTTATTTCACTTGTCAAATTAGATGGTTGGTTCCGGGAAAAACCAACCCTTTGGCCTGGACAGGGTAATTGAGTGATTAAAATGCATTTTCTTTAAATTATTCTATTATTAACTATTACCATGAACCAAAACCACCAGCAATGTGCTTGGAGATCGAAGAGATTCTTCACCATGAAAAATCCTTGTATCAAGATGTCTTAGTATTCAAATCAAAGACCTATGGGACTGTGTTGGCATTAGATGGTATCATTCAATGTACCGAACGTGATGAATTCTCGTACGTCTAAAGTTTTAATACAATACATTGCCTAAATCCATTTATGATCTAACCTTTGTGCGTCCTTTACGTATAGTTATCAAGAAATGATTACACATCTTCCAATGAACGGTCATCCTGATCCACGAAAGGTTTGCTCCCACAGATGTCGCTTTCGACTATCTCGGTATCGGGCATCTAATAATTGAAACGGCAATTTTGTGAACGTGAAATAGGTTCTCGTGATAGGAGGCGGAGATGGAGGTGTCATTCGTGAAGTAATCAAGCATGAGTCGGTTGAAGAAGTCACCTTGTGTGAAATTGATGAGGTTCCATTGTGTTAATAACATATATTACCATTCCGATCTCAAGACTCTGACTCATCTCATGTGTATCATTTACATAGTCGGTGATTCGCTTATCTAAGAAATACTTACCGAAGATGGCAGTAGCACTGGATCATCCTAAAGTTAAAATTCATATTGAAGACGGCTTTCCTTTTTTGGAAAACAAAAAAGACTCTTATGATGTTATAATCACGGATTCATCAGATCCTGTTGGTATGTCGGTCGGAAATTTCAATGGATCAAAGTCGCTTGTTATGTTTAGCTATTTTATTCCACAGGTCCCGCCGAATCTTTATTCCAAGTCAAGTTCTTCGAGCTCATGAAAAATGCATTACGTCCAGGAGGAATTATCACGACACAGGGTATGAAGTTAACATCATCAGTTTGTGTGGTTAAAATGTTTGATGTGAATTTACAATTATTATGTACTCCATTTAATAAGGGGAATGTCAATGGCTTCACCTTAACATAATCAACGAAGTTCTGACGTATTGCCGTTCCCTGTTCCCGGTGGTCGAATATGCGTACACCACCATCCCTACTTATCCATCCGGTCAAATCGGTTTTATTTTATGTAGCAATGATTCATCTCGTGACTTGAGAAAACCATTGAGAAGATGGACAGAGGAAGAAGAAGAAAAATTATTAAGTTACTACAATTCTCAAATTCACGAGGCTGCTTTTGTGTTACCACAGTTTACAAAAAATGCGTTGAAGATTAAAGACAGTTGAATAAACAATTGAATTTTTATTTTTTCCAAATGACATTAACATAACGTACGAACGCGTTCCATTCACTCGATGCATTTTCACACTAAAAAAGCGAATATATTTACATCTTTTTAGAACAAATGAACACGGCACAAATTTAAAAGGGTTTTGAATTTAACAAGAGATTATTGTCAATAAATGTTTCAATATTCCATTAATTAATATACAGGGCTTCTCCAATCTTCTTCGTCGAGATCAAGAGAAAATTGATCCCGATCGCGCCAATCTGTTAGATATTCATCTCTTGCACCATACTTGAGGGGTGTTTTTTGCGTCTCATAACTTTCGTCAGTGTAAGACAACGTTGGCATGGCCCAATACGATGGTTCGTAATTCGCTTGTACAAATGAGTATTGTACCTGTTCAACCTGTTACATACCGCGAAATTAGTTATGTTTTTACGGTATTTAGTATATACGAAAAATGTAAACACCTCAACAAAGGTGACGGCATTATCACAATTCGTTGTCGAAGTAATCCCTGATGTTGATTCAGCAATTAGTCCTCCCAGCGGCGTTGGTGAGTCTGCGAATTTCGATATTTCGTTGGATTTCGAAGTTCCATTTACATACGATGCGTCTTGTCGAGTTTTATTGCCACCGAATGTTTTTTGTTCTTTTGGAATTCTATTGCGAGGCGTTTTACGTTTTCTTTTTGTTAGAGGTTTCAGCGAAGTCTCGATCACTGCAAACCCATATGGCGAGTAACAACTCTTGGGGCTTATATTGGTGACCTCTGGTGCTTGGTGTCGAGATGGGTGCCGCTTGGCAGTACATTCAGGATACAAAGAACCCTTGCGATGCACCCTTGGACCTATTGAACGAACCATGTTTTTGCTTCAGAAGATAAAAAACAATCGGATGAAGGTTGCCCTGATAATTTTGGCGATTAGTTGATTTTGAGAAGAAATTGTGTTTAATTTATCGCAAACGAGTTTTGACGAGAAAGTAAAATAACGTCACGTTTTTTACGCAATGCTGGTCGCACAGTAAATTCCATTGTCTCAGATAATAAGTAATGTGTTGCGTGTTATGAAATTGCCTAATCGGTGGCTTGGCCCATTTGCGTAATTAAAATGGAAATAATAATCTATTTATACACATATTTTTAAAAAATATTTCAAAAAAAAAAGATAAACAAGTAACATATAGTCTAGTTCAAAAAAAACCAGAATTGAATTTTTCTTATAATTTGATAAATAATAATTTAAATTAAATAAAACTTCTAATGTATATTATTTATAATAAAAGAAATAATATATTTAAAATATTAATTTAAAGTTGAAAAAAATTTTTTTCTTAAATAATTACAAATTTTAAATATAAATTTATAAATAAATTTTATTTGAAAAATAAATTTTTACTATAATAAATTTTTCAAAAAAAATCTATAAAAAAATTATTATATATTTTTTATTATATTTAAATAACAATATTAAAATTATTTTATTTTTTATTTTGAAAAATTAATTTTAAATTTTTTTTAAATTCTTTAAAAATTTGATTTTAAATATGAAATTTTAATAATTTTTTGTTAATAATGTTTTCCAATAAATTTAAATTAATTAATTTTTTTAAAAAAATTTGTTTTAAATTAAGATTTAAGAATATTTTAATAATATATTTAAAAAAATTTATTAAGTAAACTTATTTTTTATTTTTTTAAATACATATACAATATATATATTTTTATAATATTTTGTTTATTGGTTACTATATTATAAGTAAAATTAGAAATATAGTTTATTTTGATTTTTTTTAAATCAAATTATATATATTGTATATATAATATTTTATAGTTTTAAATTTTAATATTAAAATAAGACACTTTTCATAATCTTTATTAATAAAATAAATATATAATGTTGCATTATCAATAATAAGATATAAGATATATAGTTATACAGTATGGTGCAAAAAAAACCAGAATCATATATTTACTTATAATTCAATAACTAATTAATT